TTTGCTCCATCTGCTTTTGGGCTGGAAGGCTGTCTCCCAGACCGCCGCAGCCGAACCCACCAGCCATCACCTCCTGTCCCCACGCCCGGCGCAACATGAATCATCATTTCCCCCTCTCCTCAGTTATCTTCTGTGCTGCTCTAGTTCGGAGATTGGCTCCGCTCAGAACTTTCCAGTCTTTCCACCAGACTCCCAAGAGGGTTCAGCAGCCTCAGAGTTTAGTCTCAGAGGAGCCTGGGAACTACAGCTTGGCCCAACCAGTTCCCAAAATAAAAATAAATGTTAATAAAGTAAGGAAATGCTGGCAGGAGGCCCACAGAGCCAGTCAACAATTTGTCCTTTCCCTTGATTTTTAGAAAACTTAGGGTCTGAAGCGGGTTAACCTCTGTCATTTTAAATAATTACACCCGTGGTTCAGAGCTCCCCCCGCCCGGGCTGGACGGCAGCCCAGGGCTCGCTCTCTTGGGAGAGAAGCCCCAGCCCTCTGCTGTCTTCTGAGCTTGGGGACCAAAGTCCTAGCACCCTGGTGTCCCTTTGGCGGCCTTGTCTGCTCTATGCGCCTCCTTCCCCAGAACTAGCTGCGTGAGGGTGGCCTTTTCTTTTCAATATGAAGTACTGCTACAGAGAGGCTGAAAAGCTAAATGCTCTTAATTTAAGCACATATTTTTTTAAGATTTATTTATTTATGCATACAAGAACTGGGGTACAGGCCAGAGGTGCAGCGGGTGAGAAGAGTCACTAGAGACAGAGTGGGGAGCAGAACAGGAGGATCTACTGAAATACACTGCTGAGGGGAGCAGCGGGGAGACAGGAGAGGTCTGCTGCGCCATGTGGGTAGCTCCCTGGCTGGCCGGGGATTGAACTCTTGCTGCAGAGGCTGCGGATAGCTTCACAGTGCTGTGCTTAACCCCTTGCACCACCAGGGAGACACCTAAGCACATATTGTTATTTGTAAAAATACACTTTAAGGGCCTCCCTGGGGGTGCAGGGGTTAAATTCTCAGTGTTATCAAACTATTGCCAGTCACTGCCAGCCACTGTGGCCTGTTTGATCCCTGGCCAGGGAGCTACCCACCTGGTGCAGCAGACCTCTCCTGTCTCACCTGCTGCTCCCCTCAGCAGTGTATTTCAATAGATCTGCCTGTTCTGCTCCCCACTCTGTTTCTGGTGAATCCTCTCACCTCCTGCACCTCTGGCCTGCACCCCAATCTTCTACACAAAAATAATTTTTTTGAAAAGTCTTTTTTAAAAAATCCTTCTAACGCTGTGAATCTCTCTGGCTTCCTTCTGCTACCAGTGGCGAGAATACTGCCTGGCTATTGTCCCCCTCTCAGGCCAATGGTGCCGTGGGACACAGCAGGGTGGCCTCTCATCTTATTTGCAATTTCCAGAGGTGAGGGTGAAGCTTGATGACTAATTTTAGAAATAATGCCACCCATAAAAATCTCTATTTTCCCAGAGATATGTAATGTGCTTTCCAAAAAATTCTTCCTTGGCTATATCAATGGTAGTGGAGACACTGGCTGTCCCATTCTGCTCTGTCCTGGGTTCTTGGGTGCTGCAGTTCATTCTGGGTGGTGGAAATAAGGGAGAAATGGACCCACAGAACCAAGACCACAGGTGGATTCACGCCCAAGGCTTAGGAAGGGAGGTAGGGAGAACACAAACACTTAACCTGAAGATGGAAGATGCTGAGGTCACTGCACGACCATCTTCAAAGGATTTTAAAAACTGTCAGTGAAACAGGAATGTGTTTTGCATAAATAAAGGGGATAAAACCAAGACTCATGGTGGAAAACATTTCCCTTATTATTGGAAAGTGTTTTCCAATAGGGTTGATCTGATTGATGGAGCCACTCTGGACCAGGTTCACCCCCTTCTGTGGAGCTGGTCGAGCATAAATAGGAAAGTTATGAGGAGAACAGCAGGTTGGGTTAAATATTCTTTCAGATTCCTCCCAAGCCTCCCAAACACTGAGGTAAGTGACCACAGACACTGCTCTGTTCAATTCAAGGGTCCGACTTGGTACTAGCACTTTCCAAAGTCTTCCACGAGGGGAAAGTGCAGGAAAAAACCAGCATCTACTCCTGAGGGTCTCGCTTCTTGGAGGTGTAACCTGAGGAAGTGTTAGGAAGAGGACACCTGTGAATGGAGGAGGCCTACCAAGTAAAATTTTCTTCAAAAACAGGTTTATCTTTAAAATGATCGCATAGATCATTTTCTTCACTATATGCCTACATTTTAACCTAAAAGTATTAGTTTTAACTATTTAGCAATGAAAGTATTTGACACCCCAAGAAGCTCAGTGTAGGGTCAGGAATGGACACGGTGCAGGTTTTCTGATCCAGCAGACGGGGTAAAGGAGGAGTCAGAGTCCTCAGTGGTTTTGCAGGTTTTTATTGGGATTACCAGGTACACGGCAGGCAGGGGTGCTGGGGGGCCGGGAGGCTGGCAGGCCTCCCAGCCCCCAGCTCGTCTTCACTCTATGGGCTCTCCAGCCTTCTCTCGGCTTCTGCTTGGCTTCTGTTCGTTCTTGGCTTCTGCTGGCGTCCCCGTGACGCCGCCCTTAAATGCCCAGTCTTAGCCCAGGTGGATCTCATCTACCTATGCCCACACCCTACACCAGGTGCCCGCCATCAGGCATGCATTCAGGACCTCAAGGATCCATCATCTATCCTGATGGCGGGAGGGCAGAAAAGCCTGACATTTTTCCTTACCCTACACTCAGCCATACTTGTTTTGTTATTCAACCCATGGCCGACCTCAGAGGGAGAGATCACAGCTTGAGAACTCCGGGTGTATGGGAACACCCAAACCTTCAATAATTAGTTTACCTCACCAGGTGACTTGCTAGTTTGACCTGCTTTCCAGGCGGAGAGCCGCCATCTTGTTATGCAATCACATATTCATTCAACCTTCCTCTCCAGGTTCCAGATGTGCCCTGTCTCTCCTAATGCTCTGATGCTCCCCCATCCAAGGGCACCTCCACATCCCCCCTCAGCCAACACCACCCATGTGCTGGGTCAGTCCTCCTGGGTCTGCCTCATCATAGCAGCTTTCATTCTCCAACAGGTGAAAGTGTTTGATCTAAACGACATGTCTTGCAGTTGATTTACAACTGCCTTAGGGCTGTGACTATTTGTAGACATATACCTTATCTCCCAAACTAGACTTGAAACCGGACATGACAATGGCATTGTTTAGAACTTTTTTTTTCCTCCCCCACCACCATCTTATGCTCCGTAGACCTTTTCTCCATTCTCCCTCCCTCTTAACCTCAGAATCCCACTCTGTTTATTGGGGTTTACTCGTTTTTATAAGTATTTCGCTTTGTATTTCTGCTGTATAAGTATCCAATATTTGCCTTTCTTTTTGTGACTTGCCTTACGATACACATAATTCCCTCACATTCCTTCCATTCTGCTATAAATGGCAATGTTTTTGTCTTTGCTCATGGCTAAATAGTAAGTATTTCATTGTGTGGGGAGACCACATCTTGGTGGTCTACTTAGGTTATTTCCATGCCCCAACTATTGTAAATAATGCTGCAATAAACACTGTAGATCTTAGAATTTTTGAATTGATGTTTCATGTTCTCTGGATAAATGTCCAAAGTGGGGTTGCTGGCATTTGTATTTTGGGCATTTGTATTTTTATTTTTTTAAGGTAAATAAATGTAGATTGCTTTCTGTAATGGCTACATCAGTTTACATTCCCAATAAGAGTGTGATGGGTTTCCTCTTTCCCTGCATCCTCTCCAGCACTTTCTAATACACGTCATTTGCACAGGTCTGAGGTGATGTCTTATTGTGGGTTTAACCTGCTTCTCCCTAATTAAAACGGGTGATGAACATTTTTTTTCCATATCTCTACCAGGCTCCTGGATACCCATTTTTTTTTTAATTAGCATCCCATGTATTTTTCTTTTAAAGATTTATTTATTTATGCATCCAAGAGCTGGGGTACAGGCCAGAGATGCAGGGAGTGAGAAGACTCACCAGAGACAGAGTGGGGAACAGAACAGGCAGATGGACTGAAATCCACTGCTGAGGGAAGCAGCGGGCGAGGCAGGAGAGGTCTGCTGTGCCATGTGGGTTGCTCCCTGGCCAGCCGGGTATCAAACTTGTGCTGCAGAGGCTGCAGATTGCCCCACAGTGAGGTGCTTAATGCCTTGCACCACCAGGGAGGCCCTGCACATGACTTTATTTACTTTCAATTACTTTTTTCTATTTTTTAAAATTTTGTTTATTTTTGCGTAGAAGAACTGGGGTATAGGCCAGAACTGGCGGGGATGGGGGTGATCGGATTCACCAGAGACAGAGTGGGGAACAGAACAGGCAGATCTACTGAAACATACTGCTCAGGGAAGCAGCGGGGAGACAAGAGAGGTCTGCTGTGCCATGTGGGTCAGATCAAACTCAGGCCTTAGCGGTGATAGCATGGAGACTTAACCCCTAGGCCACTGGGGAAGCCCTGATTACTTTTTTCTTTTTTACCCTGGTAGAAAAGGATTCCAGCTCTCCTAACGGGATCCTCAACACCCATTTTTTTCATTCACACCAATTACTTTCTCTCCTATTTCCTGACTCCTTAAGTCTGCAAATACTGGAGGTGGGGGGCGGGGGAAAGATGCAGACTTTTTAGTGGGAAATGCGCCTAGAGGCCCACGATCACTCCCTAAGATCCAGATGATATGAGGCCCCCAGTTCTGCTCTTTACCATCTGCACTTGCTCATCGGAGGCTTTGTCATGGCTTGTCTTGTAACTGAGTGTGTGTCCATGGATGGCACAGCGTCCCTGCGTGCCTGTCTGTATCACTAGATTGTAAGCTCCCTGCAGACAAGAAGGATCATGTGGCTGGTTTGCCTCCCAAGGCCTCTGACGTGTGCACTAAGCCTGGTGCACAGTAGGGATTTCACACCCTTGTCGAATGAAAGAATGGGTGGAGAGCTCAAAGCACTTCGGCTGGTCTTTGCATTCCTGTTTCTCTGGCTCTTCCAGACGACACAAGATGTACAAGGAGCAGCTGAACATCACCTCCCTGGACCCCCCGCTGCAGCTCCAACTCGAGGCCAGCTGGTTCCAGTTCCACCTGGGGATCAACCGCCATGGGCTGTACTCCCGGTCCAGTCCTGTCGTCAGCAGACTCCTCCACGACATGAGGCGCTTCCCCACCATCAGCGCTGGTGAGGAGGGGGGCGGAGGACCGTCCCCTGGCCAGGGTCATGGTGAAGCAGTCAAGGGCTGACTGATACCCGATAGAAGAAGGAAAGCACAGGCGTTGATCTTTTCCCTTTTGAAAGAGACCAGACACCATCACCACAGCCGCCAGGGAGGCAGAAGGTGGGGTTCCGTCCCCTTTAAGGGAGGTGACTGCTCCCATTACTGCTCTCTTTCACACTATGACCCTATTGGCATGGACGTTTCCATTGCCATTATATGGATGGGAAAACTGAGGCTCGGAGAGGTTAAGCTCCTTGGCCACAAACCCAACAGTGGAGCTGGGATCAAGCCAGGCCCCCATCTTCAGCTCTGAGCTTCCAGGCACTGTGACAGCGAGTTATCAGCTGCCCTCCCCGGTGCCCCTGGGGTGTCCATGCAAGGCTCAAGAGCCCCGGGCCTGGGATGCAGCAGGGGGCAAGCACAGCCACCTGAAGCTTGCACGTCCCCTGTGAAATAGTCTTGGGCCCCAGGCCGTGGGCTTCCAAGCCAGAGTCTCAGGCCACAAGGGGCGGGTCTCCTAGGAAAGCCCCAGATGTCTCACCTTCCTCCTCCTCCTCTGCAGATTACAGTCAGGACGAGAAAGCTTTGCTTGGGGCGTGCGACTGCACCCAGAGTAAGTGACCTGGCCCCGCCTCCACCCAGCCCCCCATCACAGCCCGAGAACCCCAGGACCTGACAGCTGTGCCCACTCCCTGGGGACTCCAGCCGGGGCCCTGCTGGGCAGTTCCAGGAGCGGGTCCCTCTGTGCCTAGGCCCTGAGAACTCTGCATTCCTCCCCCAGCAGAAAGGCATTTAGGGGAGCTTGAGCGTAGGGCCCTGCTGGTTGGGGTGTGGCTGGGGGTCAGCATCATTGAAGAGCTTGTGAGAAATGCAGAATCTCAGTCCTGCTCTGGTCTTCTCAGGCAGAATGTAGATGTTAACATCCCCCAGGACGGGAGTCCATCTCCAAGTTGAAGGCACAATCCTAACAATGGTTTCCCACCCCTAGCACACTGGTCACTGGAGAGCTTTGAAAGTAGAGGGGTGGGGGCTGGTTTCATTTGCATGGGATGAAACGGGGCATCAGCTTTTTAAAATCCCTCCACGTGATTCTCAGGCAACCAAGGTTGACACCAGGGGGGTGAGGGATGACTAGAACAAGAAAGAGGGGTGCCTGACACAGTTCCCAGCCACAGCGCGTGACTGGGGGACAGTGTGCTGGCCACTGAGCTCCCCAGCCCTCAGAGTGGCCGGGCCAGCTTGGACACCGACACCCCCGGCCAGTCACCCCTGGCCTTGAGTAGCCTCCTCCATGGACCTCAGAGACTGAACACACATCAGGAGTTTCTGTGCATGTCATGTGTGTCAAAAGCTTGATGCATACAGGGTCCTGGGTCCTCCTTTTCTTAAACACCCACCGTTTGCCATGTTAGGGAACACAGGGGTGAGCGAGTCATTGGCAGACCCTCAGGGGGTTCGGTCCAGGGACAAGGTGAGGCCAGTCAGCCTTCACTGTCAAGGTCATGCAAGGACAGGGTGTCTCTGTCACCAAGCCCTGTCCCAGCCCAGGTGTACAGTCCCAGCCAGGAAGAGCTGTAGATAACTCTACAAGCCAGTTGCATGCCACGTTCCAAGTGACCTCGTTGGAATCATAGAGGCGCCATTGAAGGGAGTGGAGTGCTTCTCCTCTTAGGAAAACATTCCTTGGGGTTTTTGAGGAGCATCCATCCAGGGAAAGCTGCATTGTTTGCCCCTTTAACAGTCAAAAAATATATTGTCCTGAGCCCCTGGGCAGGGTCAGGGCAGATAGGATGGAACTGACCTGCAGGCTTTGCAAACCAGAGGCTACTTTGCAAGTCAGAGGCTACTTTGCAAATCAGACAAATCTTCAGAGTCTAATGAAGTTAGAGGACAGAGAAGGGGTGGGGGGGCTGGGTTTATTGACTGAACAGAGGGTCAGCACCCTGAGCACAGGCTGGACGCTAATACCCCCTCCCCCCTCACAGTCGTGAAGCCCAGTGGCGTCCACCTCAAGCTGGTGCTGAGGTTCTCGGACTTCGGCAAGGCCATGTTCAAACCCATGAGGTAAGTGACCCCAGTCCTTGCTGCCATGCCCCATGGTGGTTGCCCCGAGAGTCTGGACCAAACATTCATATAAGTGGTCAGACCTCATCGAGCCAGTCGTTTGGAGAATCTCTTTGGGGCTGGTTCTGGTGATAATTAGAGTTAGTAGAGCTGGCCTCCATCGGGGCCTTGCTCACTAGCACCTGTGCACTCTTGAATTGATGGTGTCTGTACGTCACTGAGACAAGTACCACGAGTGTCTGCTTCACAGGGGACCACCCCGAGGCCCAGCAGGGCCCGCTCACCCTGCTGGTCTCCCCGCAGCAGGCAGTGCCCGCAAACCCAGGCAGCTGGATTGTTGAATTCACACTCTCCCCTCTATAGTTGATCCCCACTTTTTTCCAGGGCTAGGAAGCTCAGAATGCTTACAGAGCGCTACATAGTAAACTTGTTTTGATTGAAAAACTAGACAATGGAAAAAGGCTATGACAAAGTCAGCTACACTTTCGAATTAATTTATATCTGTAGGGTAAGTGATTCAATCAGGCTTCTTGCCCCACGGGCCTCTGTGGCTACCACTTGCGGCCTTGATTGTGCTAATGCAGGAGGCGCTTGGGAGCGTGGGCTCCGGGCACTCAGGCCTGATAGTGGACACCTGGAGCAGGGTGTGCGCATGCGTAAGTGTGCACACCTGAGCCTGGAGGCCAGCCGGGTGTAAGGGCAGCGTCACTCAGACACAGACGGCTGTGGGAGACAGCTACGGGAGGAAGAGTAACGACAGAGAGGTGAGGCCAGAGGGAGCCCCGAGAGAGGATAAAAAGATTTGCTGGGGCTGGGAGGCTCGCCAGCCTGCGTGCTCGCCACTACAGCATTGTATTCATAAGAGCAGCAAATATTTGCCTTTAAAATGTAGCCCTGTAAGTGGATGAAATAACGTGTGGCCAGTCCACAGAATCCTTGCATGGCACACCAAATGGCTCTGGTTTTTTAAAGCTGGAAACTGAGAGAGGATGAACTCCACTCATTTTCACATTTGGGGAAGAAAAACTGCTCCCCTTGCAGAAAGTGTTTTCTTTGCACAAAAGCACAGGAAGGAGCAGCCTGAGACCTCGGCCTTGCCCCTCAGAAACCAGAATGCAAAGGTTATTAGAATTAACCTGCTTTTCCCCCCCTGAATATAAGGCAAAAGCTTCCGAGGTGAGGTCATAAAAGGCGTTTTACCTATTCTGCCATGACATGAGGTTTAATCTGCATTTTATAAAAATAATCAAATGTAGGATCATTTTAAAATGTTTCTTAAATGTGGATTTTTTCTACAAGTAATTTAAAAAGCATTTGTCTATAAAGAAACAAGCAAAGGAACAAACTAAACCAAACAAACCCTAGAAATCTGACTGCAGAACTGGGGGAGGTTGGAGCAGTGGGGAGCAAAGCAGAGAGAAGTGTGACTGGACTGTGATGGGGGACATTGGGGGCTTTGGTGGAGGGTGTGGACTTGGGCCAACATCTCTAAAACCCAGGGCTGCAAACCAACATGTGGCCTCAATAAAAATAATTAGATTTGAAAGGTGAAGAATATTCCTTTATTAAACAGAGGGTGTAGAGATGACCCTTTGGGTGATACACATTATGAACGTAACTGTGGATGGTATTTTTAATGTCACATACACAGTAAGAAGGACATCGGCGTGGGTTAAAAAAACTTTCACTTTTGAAACCCCTTCTACCATCTCACGCCATGCAAAAATGAGGAAATGTTTTAGGAAATCCTGAAGGGCTTTGAAGAGAGAGACACTCTGTGGACAAATTCTCCGTAGAGAATGGGGGATTAAAGCGAGATCAGGGCACAGAGGGGACCTTGGCTGGCCCAGACATGGGCGATGCTGGCGAGGAGCCACAGGCCTGCGTATGGTGGGGGCTGAGCTTGAAGTGGGGTGCACCGTTTAAAATAGAACCCCTCTTCCTGGCAGCCCCTGGCTGTGGTTTCCGGGCGAGTTAATATCCTCTGGCAAAGCGCACATCACTGTGTGAAATACCGGGTGCTGTTTATTTACGGCTTTCAGCAACATTGTGTTTATCTGCATTCAGATTGCTTTTGCAGCCATCCAGCAGCCCCAGAGGTGGATTATAAAATCCTTTAAAGAGCATCATCCTTCCTTGTTTATTAGCAGTGAGACGGTTTAGGGACCGGAAGCCGTGATGGCCGTGGTGACTGGGAGGCCCTCCCGACAGGCCACGCCTACCAGCTCTGTGCTCAGGCAGGCAGAGGCTTTTCAGGGACCCGTTCGAGAATTAAAAATGCAGATAGATCGACATCCCCTACACCAGCGTCCCTCAACCCTCTGGGCTGCGCTGACATTCCGCTGATTTGATAAATAAACAGCCCGTTTATTTCCCCCTCACCCTGTGGCCCGGCACTTTGCTGTCTGCTGTTCTCACCATCATGTAAATTGCATCTCTGGGGCACTTTTATCAAGTGTGTCTCACACCTGCCTCTCTTTGCCCTTGCGCATCTGGTCTCTGGGGCCTCGGGTTCTGCCAGCCAGTCCCCTCCTGTTTACATTGCAGAAGAAGGTCTGTGCTCCCTCCTCTCTCAACTACGGGGGTTTTAAGAGAATCAGCCGCTGTAGCCACCAAAGCTGCGTAAGTTGGGTTCTTGGCGTTGGTGGTGCCAGCGGGTGTCTGGTCAGAGCCCTGGCTCCTCCCGCCCTGCAAGTCTCCGCGGACGCCTCGGCCTTCCGGAGTCTTCCTTCCCTCCTGTATCTTCCTCTCTGGCCCTGACGACAGGCTCCTGTCTCCGGCTCGTAGCTGGAGTCTGAGTCCAGGGCGTGATTCCTTGCTTCCTTCCAGACAGCAGCGAGATGAAGAGACGCCCGAGGACTTCTTCTATTTCATTGACTTTCAGAGGCACAACGCTGAGATCGCAGCTTTCCATCTGGACAGGTGGGCTCTGGCTGCGGGAGGGGACACAGGGCTGATGGCAGGGTTGGGGGGGGGGTCCCTAGGTGGGCCTCTTTATCTTCTTGCACTTCAGTCACACCTTTGAACCCCACATGTCCCACCCCTCCCCACGACTTGCAGAACAAATGCAATGGAAACAATCTCTTAGAAAGATGGGCCTCCTTGGTGTCAAAAGGGGTTAAGACACAACCTATGGAGCCATCCGCAGCCTCTGCAGCACGAGTTCAATCCCCAGCCAGGGAGCTACCTGCATGGCGCAGCAGACCTCTCCTGACTCGCCCGCTGCTCCCCTCAGCAGTGTATTTCAGTCAGTCTGCCTGTTCTGTTCCCCGCTCTGTCTCTGGGGCATCCTCTCACCCCCCGCATCTCTGGCCTGTACCCCAGTTCTTGTATGTATGAAAAATCTTTGGGAAAAAAGAATCTCTTAGGAAGACACTACCTGGTCCTGCCACTGCAGCTGCCGCCCATGGACCTGACCTCGCCCTTTGCTCTCGTTTCCTGATCTGAAATAGAGGGAGTCTGTGCTCATTCCCACTGAGCTAAGGAGTCCTGGGTGTGCTGTGGAGGGACAGCCTGAACTTCCTGCCTCCTTCTGGGGCCTCTCAAGGCGTGTCTGTGGGCGGGCTGCCTGGGCTCCGGCTGGGGGCTCTTCAGCCTCCCCTGCCCCACTGAATCTTGGGGCCTGGCTCCCGGGTGTCTCGTGCACAGTGAAGGCCAAGACGCCCTGGTGTAATTACGCACAATGGCTGTCTGCGTGGCCGGCCCAGGAGGCTGGATGGAACGGGTTCCACTCCACACATGGCTCAGCTCTGAACATCTTCCCTCCCTGTCAGGATCCTGGACTTCCGGCGGGTGCCACCCACGGTGGGGAGGCTGGTCAACGTCACCAAGGAAATCCTAGAGGTCACCAAGAATGAAATCCTGCAGAGCGTTTTCTTCGTCTCTCCAGGTAGAGTGCCAGCCAAAGTTATGTTCTGGATCTAAGAACGCGGCCGCAGTGGCCACTGTCACACTCAGCAGGGGTCTCCCCTGCCGGGAGCCCATCCATTATGGGGGGCGGGGGGGGGGGTGGATCACACACTCCCAGCCAGTCCACTGGGCAGAGCACAGGTTGAAGTGGGGACGGGGAAGGGCCACAGGTGAGGTGCTAACCAGCCCGTGTGGGCGCTGACCACAGTGCCAGGCTCCCTGGGATCAGTGTTGCCCATTGGGACAGAGAGAATTTTAGTCCTGGGAACAGGATGCAGTGGGGCCGGGCCCACACTCTCAGCTCGGAGACCTGTGTTGGCACCAGGATGCCGTTTAGTGGCACTCGAGCCCCTCTGCCTTTAGAGCTGGGCGCGCAGAGGTCTCCTTCCCTCCTGGTGGGGCTCCTTGGCAGGGAAGGACCTGCCTCCAGAGCCCTGCTCTCACGCTCTCTCCTCCCCACTCCAGCCAGCAACGTGTGCTTCTTCGCCAAGTGCCCCTACATGTGCAAGACGGAGTACGCCGTCTGCGGCAGCCCGCACCTGCTGGAAGGCTCCCTGTCCGCCTTCCTGCCGTCCCTCAACCTGGCCCCCCGGCTGTCTGTGCCCAACCCCTGGATCCGCTCCTACACGCTGGCAGGGAAGGAGGAGTGAGTTGCCCCCTGCTCGCCCACCGCCCCCCCAACGCAGGGCCATGCCACGGTGCCTGCAGAGCATGTGCAGCCCCACCGAGCACCCTAGGGCCAGCTGGCCTGTGTCTGCTCTCACCCTTCAGCCATTTGTCTGGTTCTAAAGAGCCTACTGTGTACCCAGCACTACATGCTAGGGGTGCAGAAATAAAGCCCCTCGGCCTGGTGGGCAGACAGAACAGGCAGGTCCCAGCAATGCAACGTAGTGCTTAGAGCAGCCGGCAGGAGCCACGGCAGCACCGGGCCTCTGGGGCCCAGGACCTCAGCGGTCTCCTCGGGCCCAGCACACAGCGCTCTGTGGCCCTGTCTTAGCCAGGCTAGCAGTGGGTGCTCAGTTGTCGCGAGGTGACGGAACGTGTAGGTTCACCAATCCAGTCCCCCCCAGTCGCCATGGGAATAACCATGACAGTTCCTAGGGGACTGTGACGGCTGAATAAGACCCCCAATTGAAGAGGACCATGGTGAGGAGGGCGCATTCTAGTTAGAGGAACGTGAGCGAGCGAGAGGACAGAGAAGGGTGTGGAGGGAAGCTCACTCGGGGGAGCTGGAGGGCCGAGGCCGAGAGACCAGGTGAGAGGAACACGTATTCACCCTGCCCGGCCCAGCCACCCTCTCCCCTCTGGCGTGTGGCCTCCCAGCAGCCAGGAGAGCACCCCGCAGAGTGGCTGCCCATCAAACGTGTGGTGGGAGAACCCAGAACCTTCTGACCACGTGGCCTCCGCAGCCCGTGTCTTGGTCCGGCTGCTGCTGACCAGCTGCCTCCAGCCCAAGGCAGGAGCAGCGGCAGGGCGGGCACTGTGACGAGGGCCCCAACACCTTGCCATCTTGGCTCTTCCAGCCCCAGGACTTCTTCTCCCCCTCAGGTGGGAGGTCAATCCCCTGTACTGCGACACGGTGAAGCAGGTGCCCCCCTACAGCAGCAGCAACCGGCTGCTCAACATCATCGACATGGCCATCTTCGACTTCCTCATAGGTAGGTGGCGCCGGGCCGCGGGACAAGTGGGCTGTGCTGTGGGCTGGGGTTCCCCGAGGCCTCAGACGACGCCACTGGCAGCAAGGCCCCAAGGCCCCCTCTCAGGGCCACCACTCGGAGGCAGGTGTCCGACCCCGCAGGAGGGAGCAAGAGGGCTCAGCTCTGGAGTTGCATGTGCATTTCACCAAGTGAGGTGCGCCAGGGAGAGGCGCCATGGCTGTGCAGCATGGGGGAACCCACAGACAGTACCCACCCCCTCTCATGCCCTCGGGAAGCCGAGGAAGGCCCACAGGGGCAGGGACACAGCAGAGCAGCCGGGACAAGGGGCTGGGAGGGAGCTGCTGAAAGCCTGGGATTTGGGAACAGTCCAAATTAGGGCTTGTTTGCTTGTTCAGCTCCCTTCTCCCTCTGCAACTCCACTGAGAACCTGGGGGACAGCAGGCCGGGTTCAGCCCCCTGGCCCCCACAATCAGGCCCCTGTTCTCGGGAGAGCTCAGAGGTCAGCTTCCGTCTGTTCAGTGTCTGCCTCCTTTGCAGGAAACATGGACCGTCACCACTATGAGATGTTCACCAAATTTGGGGATGATGGGTTCCTTATTCATCTTGATAACGCCAGAGGGTAAGAGTCCCAGCACTGCCCTGTCCCCCGACACCCCTTGTGTGACTGCTCAGGGGAAACCAGACACCCCAGAACAGGGCCACACGGCCACATCCTTCCTGCCCTGCTTGTTCCATTCTTTTCCTCCATCTTGCTGAGAACTGCTTGATTATCCACACACACACACCCCGCCGCCCCGGGGGCACTGGTGAGGGACTGAGGACTTTCTGTCACTCACTAGACAGCGCACTCCTGGAGGCGGAGCCCAGGCTCGTCTTGCATCTAGTCCACCGTGGCTGGTGAATGAATGTGATGAACCAATGCACACACGCGTGCTTGGTTTTAACTTCTTTGCATGGAGACTTGCGGGCCTGATTTAGGAAAGGTACTGGGCGCCAGAATGTGTCCCAAGCTGGGGTTCAAAATAAGGTTGAGGGAGAGAAGCAGACATGGAGGAGGAAGATGCCGCCATGATGCCTTTTTCTCCTCCTAGGTTTGGTCGACACTCCCACGATGAACTCTCCATCCTGTCGCCGCTCTCCCAGTGCTGCAGGTGAGCCCGGGGCTCCAGGGTAGGTGCAACTGTGACACTCATCCTGCTGCAACCAGGCTCTAAAGTCTGCATCAGCTGCCACTGGTCTAGGATGACAGGGGTTACCTTGTTTCTTACACTGCAGCTACAAATGCTCCCGGCAACACCTGATTGGTCCTAGGATCTGACCTTTAAACCTCCCCATTTTGAATCCACTGGGTGACCTGCTTTTACAGAGCCAGACAGTCTCGATTCAACTGCTCAGACCTCTGCTTCGCTACTACCCACAGCTCAGAAATATCGCTACTTGCTCACCATCTTAGCAAAATCCTGAGTCCCATAAGCCCATGTCCGAGACTCTCGGGAGACTCTCTAGCCAGCTTCCAGAGCTCTCTGGTGTTTCAGCCCCACTGGACGACTGTCCCCCTGCTCAGCTGCAGGGTCCAGGGTTAATTATAAGCATGTGGTTCACACCTGGCAAAGCCAACTATAAACTCTTTATCCGCTTCCTAGGGGGCCATAGATGTGCCTCCCCTCCTCCCGTGGGGGTTACAGAAGTCAGACCATGGAGCTGCTTACATTTCAGTCCAAGTCTGATTCCCACATAAAAAGAAATCAAAGGCAAGGTCAAGATTGGCCCATGCCTTTTTATCCCCACCCCCCACCCCCCAGCTTATAGAATCTGACAGAAATAGACAGTTAACAAGAAACCACCCAGAAGCCTCTGGTGCCCGCTAACGCTTCTGGGATGCCACACGTCAGCTACGAGGGCCTTCTCAGCAGCCATCGCCAAGCACTTCCCGCCTCGCTCCCCTTGGCAGTGTCACAGCAGACACGCGACGTGGCATAACGAGTACAGATGACTCCGCAGCCCTTCACCAGAAGGCCACTGGGCGAAGGACTGCATCTCTCATGAATCCCCTTTTACCTGGTTTTCATGAAAATGTGCTTGAGAAGAAGACACTGGAAGGCCCTCGGAGCAACAGCCGCCACAGCTGATGGCGGGGAAGGAGGGTCACACAAGTGACTCCCTTCATGCTTACTTGGTTCCTCTGTCCTGCAGGATCAAAAGGAAAACACTTCTGCACCTGCAGCTGCTGGCCCAGGCCGACTACAGGCTGAGCGAGGTGATGCGGGAGTCCCTGCTGGAGGACCAGCTGGCCCCCGTCCTCACGGAGCCCCACCTCCTGGCCCTGGACCGGCGGCTCCAGCTCATCCTAAAGACGGTGAAGGGGTGCATCGAGGCCCACGGGGAGCAGAGCGTGGTCGCCAGTGACCCAGCAGAACAGCCAGCCGCAGACTCGGGCCAGGCTCATGTGCCAAGCTAAAGGGCTGCAAGAGTCCATGTCAAATGCTAGTGATGGCCTCAGCTGCTGCTCACGTGCCCTACCCACACTGCAGGCCCTGGACTCAGGAAGCCACAGGGCACTGGGATTGTTCTTAAAGAGCGAAAGGGGGACCCACTGAACTCTCCTCCTTGGTGCCTTCTGCTGTAGGAGCCCGGGACGCTGTGGTTCCTCTTTCCCGGGACGCACGGGCTTCATCAGGGCCCCGGACCATCTCCCACGTCTCCTGCAAATTCTGGACACGGGTCAGGCTTGGAGCCTTATTCCTAGGAGAGTTATTAACTGTAACAAATAAAAGGACATCAAATGGAGACCTAACTCAACTTTCAGATCCTTATTTTTACAGTTATAACCCCTGATCCAGATAAAATGCCTAGCAGATTGCAAGCAGACAAAAAAATCTAAAAAATGCTAACTCTCAAATTTGCTTAAAGCAGACTTGAGACTTTCTTATATTCTAATCACTGGCCCAATCTGTGTATGATAATCTCTAGTGACCGGTCAAGATTTCTCGGAAATATAATTACAAGGGATAAAAATAACACAGGGGTTTGCTCAAAATACCAGAAAATGGGTATTTCAATCTGAAGAGTACTTAAATATCAACATCGACATCAAGGATGTCACAATTAGCATTCACTAACAATAGGCAGAATTTTAATGGGGGGAAAAGCAGGGTGACCTTGAGGGTGGGCCCCGCAGGTACCAAAGCCTGCATGGAGGCAGGAGAAAAGCCAGGGCCTCCCACAACCCCTTCCCATAAATCTAGGCACCAACCCCACCAGCCAGCAAGGGGCGAGCGGCTGGCAGCTGCCTGGAGGTCCGACACTCTAAATGCCCCTCTGTGACTTGCTCAAAAAGCCCAGGTCAAGCTCAGTTTCCAAGGCTCCCTTAACAGCGGGTGTATCAGGGGTCCCGTCTCCTCAACCTTTTCCCTACAGGGTGCCTGACATTTGAAACACCTTTAATAAGCGGATTTCTTAGTCCCAAATTCACGGCTGAAACCACAAGTGACAGGCATGCATTCCTATGGCACAGTTAGCCAACCAACAAGCAAAATTTCCTGATGCCCACCAATGAGCATTTCTGATAAAGGCCAGCAGGTTAAAATAGAGCTGTCTCTAAAAGAGGTTACAATACAAGGTCAAGAACCAGAGATGTCTCCTGAAACTTCTACAAAGTGTCCAAAGACAGCACCCCAGGACAAACAACCAGGGTGCTTCTGACCTCCCAAGGACCCCAACAGGCACATTACTGGCTCGTGGTTCCTGGCTCATGGTCTCTGGGTCTTAACATCAAAAGCACAGAGCTCAACCACACACGAGCACTTTGCTCACATTATAGACTCAACACAGGCCTCCGACCCTCCCAAGCTAGAGACAGACCCCCACCTCCAATGGACACAAAAACCGAGGCTCAGTGACTAGAACCACACATCTCAATTGAAACCTAACCCCCGCTGCTCTCTCCACTGATGCACGAAAAAACCCCACTTCTCACCCAATTCATGCAGTCACAGTCATTTGCTTTAAAAAAAAAAAAAAAAAAAAATCAACTTTTTACTAGAGGAACCTTCACCCCAGAGACCCCCTCGCTGAGGTGAGTCTCCGGCTGCTCTTCCCATTGCACCATCTTTCACTCCTCCTTTGGGCAGTATCTCCCTTTAAAGGGGAGCTGGGTAATTACATGTGAGTGGAAGACAAATATCTAGGCAAAGCAGTGGCACAAATGGGCAGGGACTTCCAAAGTACAGCGCCACGGGAAGGCAAGCCACAGCTCCCTCGGACCCAGCCATGTCGAGGACAAGCGCCGGCCTCCAGATGCCAGCAGTAAGAATGTTGGTGTGCTTTCCACACTCGGGGAACAGAACTAACCGTCCACTTCTCTTAAACATCCCATTACTTCCCTAATAAAATCACCATAGGTCAAAAAAAGAGCAAAAAATAAAAGGCGGTCTTAGCACTCCCCAGCTCTTTCACCGTGTTCATTCTGGACCACTGTTCAGCTTCTCGTGGCGGAAGTCTCCTGTCCCTGCCTGGAAGCCGGTGGCGCCACTGACAGCCAACCGCAGCAGGTGACCGAGCAGGAGAAAGGGATGAGGAGGAACTGACGTAGCTTTCCCAACAGTCAGGAGGAAAATCTGAGTTCGGAAAGAAAAATACAGCTGATTCTCTGTGTCACTTTGTGGCCTATAAAGTCACAGACCCTGAATTAGCCAACACGAGCTTGCAGAGGAAATACAGGTGTTAGGTTCCTGGGGGCCTCTGCTCAGAACATTTTTGTTGATCAATCAACACATGATCTTGTTTGCTGTGTCAATATGTGTCAAGAACACCTTATTTAACATATATGGCTGATTCACTAACACTGAACTCACAGCCAAGAGCACTGCAGCTCACATCTGAGAGGAGCTATTTAATGCCTACCTAGTTCTTTTCTCTGTTAAGACGCACCACCGCCTCCGTGCCCTCAGGGACACCAGCCTGCACTTCAGCACCACACTTGGGGGCCTTCTTATACAGCGACATCCCCCAAAGAACACATAAAAATCCCAAAAAGCAGCACAAACTAGACTACAGAAAAGACACCCTGCCTTTTTGTTTTGATGCTCACACTGTAATCCCAGGTCCTTTTGGGGGTCTACTGAGGTCCAAGCTTCTTCACCACGCCGTTCACATCCAGGAATCACTGTCAAGGTGCTGCACTGATGGGGGTTACAAATAAATGTCAGCGAGCAGGCAAATTCTCCAAGTTCCCAAATACAGCCCCCACAAATAACTGGTATCATCAACTCTAACTCATTCTGAGATTAATAGAGATGATTTAAAAAGCTCTCCATCTAGTGGTAACTTGTAAAAGCACAAAGCTACTTAGCTAAATGAGCACAACTAATGAAATGAAAATATGACTCTGTAGTTTTGGTTTAAGGTTGCATAAGGATGAAATCACAGCTTTGATCTTAAGTCAATCAACAAATTTTAACTTTATACATACACAATACCAATTCCTGAGTAAAAGTTCGACAGAGTAAGAAAGGTGAGATTTAAGAGTCTTCCATGCTAAAAAAACCTGAAATCATGCTACTTCAGTTTTAAAGTCATCGATATTTGAGTCAATAAAAAAGCAAAAAACTATTCCGTGAGAGTCAATACGTTCCAGGGAGAATGAAACTGTAGCCAGTACAGTCGACCAAGGAACCACTCTCTAGTTTTAACTGTTTGTGGTGACTTGAAGGGTTGAGGAGAGGGACTGCTGAATCTGGACAAGATGCACATGTTACAAAGCAGCACAAACTGAAGAATGTTCTCGAATATAACTCATCTCCAACTCACTATAAAGAAATACCAATATGCTGGTGAACGTGACTTAATCATCCCACTCCTCAGAAACCTAAGGGATAAACATTAGAAAGACTGCAGATATACAGATCATTTAAGCATGCTTAAGTATCCAAATGCACACACACTATTTACTCAAGTGCGTGCTGATCCAGAAACGTCTCCCCATTACCTCTAGAAATGTTCCAAGGTCAGAGACCCAGTCCGTCTTCAATAAAATGGAAATCCTTGGTGTTTTAATTTGATCTTTTCCTTCCATCACTCGGTAAAAACAAATCTATGTCTCGAATACCCTTTTAAGTAAGGTTTTTTTTTAGGTTCATTCTTTGACAAACAGAATTGGAAAACACTGAAAATAAAACATTCAAAACACTGGTCCCATAATTCACTTCTGATTTTCTGTCTTGCCCACCAGATTAGGAGACTCTGGGGGAGGGGGAAAAAAGAGCAGGAAAGGAGAAAGGGAAGAAAAACTGATTCATTTAAAAATTTAAATTATTTCATCTTTTTTTATTACTTGACCTACCAGTAAGACAATCTATAACAAAAAGAGATTATTGTTACACACAGTATAAACAGACCAGTAACCAGGAAACGACACGAAGAGGTCCTTTGGCCAGCTACGCTTTCCAGAGCAGTGATCTCACAAATGCACTTACCAAGCCCCCCAAAAATGACTTCGAAAGCCCTGAATATCAACAAAGACAAATTATACCGACGTGATTTCTCACATATACTCAGATTGCACAAAGATAAAGCTTTAAACATGATTATTTTTAAATTTAGACTGAAAATTTCTTAGATCAAAAACTACAAAAGGGAGTAAACAGCAAGCCAAATGACTGAAGAGCGAAGCTCATTTAGAAAGCAATGTACGTATCTAAATATACATGAACATGATTATATACATATACGAAACTGTGCAAATTTATGGCATTCTAAACTCAGTTAAGTAGTTTTGGCATTTAAACAAAGATCAACAAAGATCAAATCAAGCTTTAAGCTAGTAAGAACAAAAAATTTATTTTTAATTTTTAAATATAAAAAAGGTAGCTAAACACAAGGATACAGAGCAGGAAAACCCTCATTTAATGTAGATTTTGAAAAATAAAAAATTTGGAATACAGTGACTTTCTATCCCACACTAAAATGTAAATAAAGATCTCTTCCCAGATTCATAGGCCAAACTTAGTAGCAACCTAAAAACAGCTCAAATCTATAGAAAACAGATCATGACCAACTTACATGGCCTGGAACAGGGGAAGGGGGAAAATCACCAACAAAGGCCGCTTGCACAGAGATGGAAAATGCTCGCCATCACTCCCAAATATAACCCTATATTATACATAAACCACCATGAGAATGAAAGTGCCTACATTACAGAACTGTGAAGCTTTGTTAAAAAAATAATAAAAATGAACTGTTGGGTATCACTGGAGCACATGAAATAATGTAACACATTATTGATAAGGCTGGAAAATACTGAGATACAGTAAGACTCAAAACACAAGTTGACTTTTGAAAACAGAAAAGCTTGCCAGAGAAGTAAATGCTAGCGAGGAAAGCAGCACTCTTCAGCAGGATGGCCTTTTAGACCATAGGAAACAATACAGACACATCCTCCCCACCCCTTCCAGCCCCCCCATTCATCTAGCTGATGTAAAAGGGAAGGAAATAGGATAAATTAAAGTAAAAACTTATTTCCAAATTTCACGCCCCACTCAGCCTAGCGGGGCCAAGTCCTCCACACTGGACTTCGTCCACCTTCAGCACTCAGGCATGTCGGCGGCTCTCCTTCCTGCAATATCACCTCCGTCTTCCTGCCAGGACAAGCATCCCATCTGTTCCATCCGCCCCCTGGAGTCAGTGCCTACTGAGCAGCTTACTCTGGACTCAAGTGAAAATGGGCACTGACCCAAAGTTCTGAGCTAACCACCCAGAGCAGGGACCTCAAATTCATTCTCAATTCAGCATCTGATGAGCAATATTTGGCACTAGTTGGATAAAAGTCTAATCAGAATTTGAGTTGAGGCAGATGTAATTGAATCAGAACCCCATATTTGCAGCCTATAATTTGGTTTCAAATTCAAAAAGCAGGTAGAGACAGACAGTCCCACCTGAAGATATTTTGGAATTGAATACATAGTAACCAGATCTACACCAACCAGGCAATTAGTTTGACAAAAAAATTCTGATTAAAAAGAAAAAAACTGAACCAACTATATCCATCTGATAATCATCAAAGATGGGCGTTTTTCCACCCTTAATCTACTTTAATTATAGGCAGATGTCTTTCTATATACTAAGATTTTTCTAAGTCCATTTTTCCTAATCCTTAAGAGCTTAATGAGAAATCATTTAGTCTATAAAGAAGTACAGCTTATATGGCCACAGTCTAAAATACGCTTATGATAAGTGGAAAATAACATCACTTAAAAAATTCTTGCAATGTTACCTCATTACTCTATGGTAATTCATTTGGTGCAGGGATCTGCCCTCACCAAAAAGCATGGCACGCACTGCCCAGGGTGAATACTACTAACACTGCACAATGAGAAGCAGTAACAGCAAAGTCTCCAGAGAACGCTCTCTATTTATTTAACTGTTACGAGCATTCAGTTAATGCTCCAAATTAAAAACGGTGCAATGAAAGCAACTTTTAATATAAACAGACAAGAAGCTGCGATGCCAGTGGCCACGTGGTGCTGTAAATAGGGAAAATAAAGCAGTCTGCGTGAGGGAAGCATGGACGGGGACAGGAGAGAGGGAGGCACAGGAGGCAGATTTCAGACAGAGAGTGACACGAAACTGTTGTACTGCTGGATGTTCCGTTTGAGGATATCTGAGCACGGGCCGAGAACACGTTCGAATCTAGGTCGGTCCAGCTTAACGCACTTCAAAGGGCCACGCGCAACCACCGTGGCAGCACGAGGGCGATTCATCAGCAGAGCGATTTCACCTGGAGAAGGAAGAGGGGCCGGGTGAGAACAGGCCAGCTTCCACGGGAAACATTTTCTTAGAGACTCACTTCTGAGTAAGGAGAAAACTTAGTACAGGTCAACCACATCTGCACTTACCAAGACAAGCAAATAAACAACAGGCATGAGAGCAGCAAAAACCTAGTTACCACCTGAGAGGCAAAATCTCAACGCTATTTCTGAGAAGCAAAAACTACAATTCAATAAAAACATTCAGAAGACAATTACGAGAGAGCACGCTATCTCACGGAGAGGGGGCTTACGACTCTTTCTTTACTCTGAGGAAACCCACATACCGAAGTAATCAGAAGGCCCCAATCTTCCCACTTCCACGAACTCTTCGTTTTCTGACCGACGCTGCAGCACAGCAGCAGAACCCTGTCATTAAATCACCAAAAGCAAAGACAGTCAAAAAAATCAGATTTTGATATTCAGGGTGGCATTTGAAAGGCCCTACGCAAGTTTATCTACTTTGCTCCCCTCCCCCGCCCATAAAGGAGGAGGGTGGACCCAACAGTTATTACAAATCCTGGGTTGATATGATAAAAGATGACAGAAAAGCATCACTACATGAGCTTCGCTTTGTCCGCTAGCGGGGTTTCTTCTCATCTAGTTAAGGTTCTTAAAGGGTTTAGACAGAAGGGCCAAATCCAAGCTCTCTGCCTGTTTTTAAAGTAAAATTTTATAGGCCTAACACAGCGTTCATTTGCACATTATCAATTTAATATGTAAATGGATGCTTCCGCACTAGGACAACAGAGCTGAGTCCTTGCAACAAAACTCTTTACAGAAAGAGCCCCTGGACCCCTGGCTAAAATAAAATCAATTAGCATCTAAGCTACGTTCACAGGAAATCTGCTATCTGGATCTGCACAGCAAATAACAATACCTGTTACACATTTGCATGGATTGTGAAATTATAAAAATAGTATCTTGTGAAATTTAAATAATTACCTTTGATCCTTGTTTGCCAAGTAGCCCAAACACATGATTTTAACAAGGATGGTCCAGAACCATCATAGTTTGTTTTGCTGTTGAGTTTGGTTTGGCTTGCATAATAAAGATTAATATGGATAGGTCAGAACATTCAAAAACTCTGACTCAAACTCATTTTAAGTGTGGTGGCCTGGCAGAAAACCATAATAGCACTTCAAAGTGAAAAATAAGTTTTAAATTACTCAGTATTTTTTTTAAAACGAAGATTATAAACCAATATTAGTCCCGTGTTTCTCTTTTACAGCATCTAAAATGCAGAGTCCTTTACCTCTAAAATAATGAAGAACTCATCCCCTGGTTCTCCCTGCACCACAATCTTCTGCCCATCTTCAAACTGGACTGGTTCCAATGCATCAGCTACAGTGAGACGTTCCCATTTGTCCAGAGATTCTGAAAGGCAAGAGTCAAGAGAATGTCTCTACATTTCCTGATATTGTTAAAATTCTCAAAAAGTATACCGAGTATGACTCTGAGTCATCTCAAATCAATGGCACCTGTCTTCAATTACCTCTAGTCTCAGCAAGATCCTATCACATACACCTCTTAGATCATTACTTCAGTAGCCCAGATGCTGTATTAATTTATACTGGTGGCAAATAAATAAAAAACATATATCCTTAAAAATTAAAGACTGCCAGAGCCTCCCTGGTGGCTCAAGGGTTAAAGTCTCAGCTCAATCAAGCTATTTGCCAGACACCGTGGCATGAGTTCAACCCCCAGGCCAGGGAGCTGACCCACATGCCCACATGGTGCAGCAGACCTCTCCTGTCTCGCCTGCTGCTCCCCTCAGCAATGTATTTCAGTGGATCCACCCGTTCTGCTCCCCACTCTGTCTCTGGTGAATCTTCTCACCTCCCACATCTCTGGTCTACACACCAGTTTTTCTATGCAAAAATAAGTAAAATATATATATATAAATAATAAATAAAATGCTAAGACTTTATTTTAAAAAACAAACCAAAAAACCACTTTTCTGAACCAGTAATTTCACTGATGGAGCAACAGAGGCTGAAGTCAGAGGGGAGCAGTGTGTTCACGACAGCCAGAAGTTTGTTTTTAGCCTTTCTGTCTAAGAGGAATAAGTAGCACATAATTCCAAAAAGCTTTTCCTGGACCCAATAATTTCTAATTAAGAGATTTGTGATATATGAGAAAATTCAAGTCTTGAAAACTACTCCTTAGTCAAACTTCAACTCCATCAAATAAAAAGTCCATGTATTTTTGATTATAGTAGCAAAAAATGAGTTAAGATACCTAGATTTTATGAAACTACAGGTTCTGATTAAGAATTGATGACTCTTCAATTTAACAATTCTCCATGAAATCTTCCAAAACTCACCTAGAATAGACACCTTACTGAGGAATTCCTCATACATCTTCCGCTTTCTCAGTGTGCTTCCCTAAAATGAAAAAAATATTAGGTCATATCTCAAAAACTGGAAATTATCACACATGCTACGGAATAATAAACATTAGGTTTCAGTAAACCTATTAAAGAAAAAAACAACAAAGCCAGAAGTCAAAGCTTGTTGCTGCTGCTTCTCAATACGTAGTTTTATTCATGTTGAAAGAATAAAATCTGTTCTACTCAATAAAAAGCGCTTAGTAACTTGCCCCTAAAAGCAAGACCAGGGATATAGCCAAAGGAGGTTCCCAGCACCCCCAATAAGTGAAATGCCAAATAGACAAACAATCTGTCCACAAAAAAAAACAAGTAATGTATGTGACTACAGACGAAAAGAATTTCCAGTCGTGGTGCTTCCTCACCAGCCCATCCTCTTGGAAGTAAAGAAACGAAACTGCTACCACTTACAGACAAACCAAAGCAGGTAAAGGCCACAGTGCCAAACCTAACCAAGCTGCCTTACCTATACAGTTTGTTAACTCTATCTGGGGAAAGAGGAGAAGCACAGACTGTAATGAACATTCCTTACACAGTAAATTGCCTTAGTAATATACACACCCAGAGAGAAAATTTTCGAAGTACATGAGACTGCATATTATCAAAAATGAGGCACTAAAAATTTTAAGAAAACCATGTGAGATGGCTAATAGTATTAGCTGGGACTTCAACATCAAAGCTACTCTGTAAATTTGTCAAATTATCTAACTGTATCAGCAGAATGTTCCCATTCTATTTATTCCTTTAGTGAGAAGAAACCTAACATTTACATTACGGATAACCCACTTCCAACTTAGGGAAGCAGAGGACTTATGAATGACATTAAAAAGCTTTGTGTGTTAGGAGCAGCACCTAGCAGGCTCTCTGTGATCGGTAAAGGTTAGGTAAGCAGAGATGTGCCTATCAGCAAACTGAGATTTCCAAACAAGAGTTGACCACTACATGCACATGACATTTGTCTTTCATGTTATTTCTGGCCACTTTTGTTCCAAACCATCATGGTCTCAATGATACAATGAATAATGCAAGACTGGGCTTAATGCAAACAATCATTAAAAGTAAGGAATATGCTCATTTTAATTTGGAAATACTATTCAAAATGAATTATACATAATGAAATTTTAAATCACTCCAAAAACCAGGGTATCTTACCATAAGGATTCTCCTATAGCTGTCGCGGTCGATACCCCACAATTTCACATTGGTTTTTGCTTTGACAGTGGCTGCTCTCGGTGTTCCATAAATCAAAGCAAGTTCTCCAAAGCTCCCTCCTTCGCCAACACTGGTGGCCCATTCATTGTTGACATAGACCTTAAATACAAATGACACAAAAAATTGATTTTCTACATATACACAGACTTAAGTATTAAAAAGCTTTTTGAGATCAGAATCCTGAACTTTATTTCAGAAAGTAGAATGTTTGCAGTACATAGTAGAGCAAAACAGCTTATTTCTAACAAGCTAAAAAAGTTCAGCTTGACTGTAATATACCTAATTACCTGCTAAAAAATGCTCAGGGCAAGAAGGTAAACTAAAGTACTAATAACCACCACATACATCGATAAGAGTACAGTGCTGAGTACTGCTAAGCATTTATTTGCACAATTTATTTGCAAATAAATTATTTGCAAATTATTTGATTTTATTCGGTTTTATGATAATCCTGTGACAACAATGCAATTGTTGACCCATTTCATTGGCAAGGAGACTCACAGAATCAAGAAAGCTATACCAAGTCTCACAGTTGATGACAGGGTCACCTTACTCCACAGCATGCATGATGCTTTAACCACAATGTAAGCAAGTCTTAAACTGCCCGTCTAAAGGTAAAGAAATTACCTTTAAAATTTTGTCATTAAAATATTTGGCAAAAGGTATTGGCAAAATCTGACATAAAAGGGTTGGAATTGTCCTTCAGATATTGTTACAAACACTAGGCATCAATCAACACATTGACTTCAAAGATTATCAACACGGGTCTCTCTGGTGGCGCAAGGGGTTAAGTCTCAGCACTGTGACGCTATGCAGCACGAGTTCGATCCCGGCCATAGAGCTGACCCACATGGCACAGACCTCTCCTGTCTCACCCAATGCTCCCCTTCACAGCATATTTCAGTAGATCTGCCTGTTCTGCTCCCCACTCTGGTGAATCCTCTCACCCTCTACACCTCTGCCCTGTAACCCAGTTCTTCTACGTAAAAATAAAATCTAAGATTATCAACATATTTTGTGATCATTAAACCTTACATCCATCTCTCCTTGATCGATCACATAGAAGTTATCACCTTCGTCACCTGAAAAAGAGTAAAAGTTAGAAACATTAAAATTTACAGAAACAAATTCAAAACTATCATGTTAATGTACAATAACCAACTTATTTTATAGTAGTACTGAGAGAAAAGAACATGTTCTAAATTAACAATTTTTCAGGAAAAGAAGTCTAGCCATATATTACAAAAGTCATAAAATTGATCAGATCTTTTGTCATTTCATGATAATAAAAATAATTTTAAATCATCAATTGTGCTCAAAGGTGTTAATGGCTAGATCATCCACGACAACAAAACAAGAAACAACCCCAATAGTAAGTACAAAATCAGACTGTCACGAAATGGGAAAACGTATTTTAGTGGGATTATGAAAATATCTATAGTGTAAATAAGAAAGGGGGAAAAAAGGGAGAATACTCAAAAGATTAGATCCATACCAGTAATATATACACGGGCAAAAAATGTAAAAATCAGTAGAAGGCACAGAACCTTATAAATAGGTGGCCCTTATGAAGCATTAAATGTTTTGTTTATTCCACTTCACAAGTGGTTACTCATCGATATAAAGGATATACAAGCTACATATGGGTTTCAAGTTCTATACAGGCCTCCCTGGTTAAGTCTCACACAAGGGGTTAAGTCTCAGCACTACAAAGCTATCAGCATCCACTGCAGTACGAGCTCGATCCTAGGCCAGGGAAATAACCCACATGGCGCGGCAGACCTCTCCTGTCTCGCCCACCGCTCCTCTCAGCAGCGTATTTCAGTCAGTCTGCCTGTTCTGCTCCCTGCTCTGTCTCTGGTGAATCCTTTCACCCACCCACCCCCACACCTCTGGCCTACACCCCAGGTCTTGTATGCATAAATAAAAATAAATCTTTAAAACGTAACAAATTCTATACAACACTCAAAAACACAAAAATTTCCTTTAACAGTTACTATAAACAAAATTATATCAGATGATAAGAGAAATATTAGTCTCTTAGGCAGAGTGTCTTCTAGCTCAGAGGATTAAAACAAAAAATAAAATAGTGTAACAAAATGAAAATGGTAGGCTTAAAAAAGAAAACAAGCATCGATTTAAAAAATCCCTCAGCTGCATCACTCCCATACTACCACATGCCATCAAAACAGCAGCCCTTACCTTGCTGAATAACCGTCTCTCCAGCAATAAAGGAAACCGGAAACATGGCATCAAAGATATCACTGCAAGGGAAAGCAAGCCTCGAGTTACATTTCACATGCCTCTCAATGGATTTCAAACATTAACCTGAGAATCAAAGTTCCCAAATATTCAGCCTGATTGTCATTGGGGAATGATTCCAAAGGGTCTTACACCTCAGACCAACGAGGAGACTGGTTTGGGACCAGGGCTATACTCAGAAAGTACAAACAAGGAGCATGTACCCACCTCCTCTCGTTATCATCCAGATGTGAAAACAGCACATTCTTTTCAATGGCTTTGGCTAAAGCAGCCATTGTCTTATAATCTTTCGGTATAACCTAGAAAAGAAGGGCAAACACTAATTCCGTAAACCAAAAACACTTCGTGTCTGCCACCTGCATTGCAATGAAATGTCAAGCTGCATTGTGGCATTTAAACAAGACTGCTTTGAGTTAAAATATCTTCAACACAACACAACCTTACAATCTCTGAGCCACAAAGCGCTGAACAAATATTGATTCCTCCCCGTTGCTCACAGTCAGGACTGTATTTAAAGGCTGGTGTTTGGTTCCCAGTCAACTACTAAAGGAACAAATTAAAAACACCTTGACCAAGGTCATTATTGAGGCAAAACTACGCATTTTATGACAATTAGTCATTTTTTAAACTGATCATGTGCTATTAGTGTCACAAGCCCTTTGCCAGGACAAGTCTCTTTCCCCTTCACGGTAACAGTGTAACTTGAAAAGAGCAGATTAAGATGAATGAAGCTGACAGAATAAAAGATTAAAAGTCACAACATGAACTAGAGGATGCCAAAAACTGACACCATGATTCAAGAGCGAAAGGCGTACTGCCACCTGCTCCTTCTACTGGGAAACAAGAGGGAACCGACCTCCCAAATGCAACGACTCTCTGTTTTATAACCACCATGTCTTCTGATGGCATGTCATCATGGAAACCTGCTCCCCAGTACAGGAGGGGGTACAAGTCATCCTGCTTTGTGTCTTACTACATGGGTCCCCATTTCTCCAATGTGTAGATCTCTGAACTACCTTTCTGACATAGGACGCCGCGTCTTCCTCCGTATAGACTTCGGCGCTGATAGCACCCCGTCGCCTCCGGCCCTTAACCACGGGGTTGGGGGGAGGAGGAGAAATCTCATCCTCCCTCGAGTCAGCACGACTGCTTGCTTTCTGCAGATTCTGAATTTGTTTTGCCTCCTCCTGAAATAAATTAACAGGTTTACAAAATGAGATCCCTCGGCACATAAAGTCTGTGTTCTCATCTTCCAGTGACAGTCCACCTCGGTCACTTCAAAAGCTCTCCTGCCATTACCAATGTTAAGTTAAGGGGGACAGGCCGATTCCAAATAGGAAAAAAAAATGGAGTCAAGTTTGAAAAGAAATACTCTGAAAGGACTACACTGTTTCTCAAACAGATTCTATACTAACAAACAAAAGCTCTTAGTACAGGAACACACGATGTGCAGGAAAGAAATCAGATTTTTACTGACAACACAAATTGTAATATAAACAACGGTAAAAAACCAGAAAACAAAATCCTGGAGAACTAGGTTTTTTGTATGCATGAGACACCCCCCCCCCAAAAAAAAAAGAATGTTATCTAGAAGTATCAGCTCAGGCACAGTAAAGTGACCCAAGAATGTGTTCATTAATTCAGTAAGCATTCCCTGGATCTGCCATGCCACATCTTCAAGGCAAGGAGAATGTGAAAACCAATAGGAGAGGGTCTTGAACTTGTGGAATTAATACTCTAGTTGGAAGTCTCAGATATAAGCAAATGAAATGATGTGATAACCAAGAATTGAAATAAGATCAGCTCTAACAATAACTCTCCCAGGGGAGGAGAAGCATTCTGTATTATCAGGGCTTTCACAGTTAATGCTAAAACAAAGCAAATGGTTACCTGCTTTTAAAATCTTCTACAAATCAGTTCATATAAAAACAGATGAATTACTTAACATTCATATTATTCAGTTCTAGAGTCTTAAAAAGAAATTCCACTTGGGCCTACAGTGAGGAATGAGTTATATATATTATGCCTGACAGAAAATAAGAATGAAAAAATATGAGTTATGTGCTACTTTCTCTTTCACTTGACTCATTCTCCGTTATTTTTCTAAGTCAGCTTTCAAGTTCTAAATGAAATTAATTTTTTTCCCAGAAAAAAATTTTGATTAAAGAAAGAAATTAAGGACATGCCTACTTTTTCTCCTGCTATATGGTACTCAGTGCTACTTTTAGCACCAAGCACAAGAAACATACAGTACACACACACACACACACACACACACACACACGTGTGTGTGTGTATATGTTTGCAACAGGAAGTATAACTGTCAAGGACTAGTGACAATTTCCATTAATAGTAAAATCATGGGCCTCCCTGGTGGCACAAGGGGTTAAGTCTCAGCACTATGAAGCTATCTGCAGCCTCCGCAGCACCAGTTCAATCCCCAGCCAGGGAGCTGACCCAGATGGTGCAGCAGACCTCTCCTGTCTCGCCCACTGCTCCCCTCAGCAGTGTATTTCAGTCAATCCACCTATTCTGTTCCCCACTCTGTCTCTGGTGAACCCTCTCACCTCCGCACCTCTGGCCTAAACCCAGTTCTTGTACACATAAATAAATAAATCTTAAAAAAAATAAAATAAAATCATGCCTAATTTTTAACTTTTTAAAGAGATGTTAATAGTTTATTTTTCCTATTTCTGTGGATTTTCTAATTTTCAATTAAAGCAGTTAAAAAAAAACCTAACAAGAATGACTTTAATTTATTTGTATGTTTTATCACAAATGCATTTATTTCTTGATCCAATAATCCAGTAATTCTACATCCAGGAATTTATCCCATGATATGCATATGCACAAAATGATATATATACAGTTAATTGCTTTCAGTAGCAAAACAGTGGGAGGAACAGGAAGCTTTTCTGTATAAGAATTCTTCTTTTATGCCTTATGTTATCTACGGAACAATGGCTGCAGCCAAGAAAGACAACAGCTGGAAAGGAGACATTTTGTTGTTATGCCTTTTTGTATCTGCAGAATTTTGAACCATCTACAAATATGTAACCAATCAAAAATACTTTTTTCAGAAATTTCAACTCATCTTCAGTCTAATTATTACAATACCCAACAAAATTTTTCCATTGCACATTAATACAGAACTGTAAAATTCAAGGCTCTTCAACATTTAAAGTTTAAGAGTATAAATGAAGGGGCCTCCCCTGGTGGCGCAGTGGTTTGAGCGCTGGGTTGCGAGGCTGCCCGCAGCCTCTGCAGCACCAGTTCGATCCCCGGCCGCTGGCAAGGGTCCCACCAAAAAAAAAAAAAAAAAAAAGAGTATAAATGAAAATGAATTCTACACCCAAAACTTGGCATTTCACTAAACTTTGTGAAAAAATTCACAAATAATACCTCATCCTGGGTTGTAGTCCAGCTTACTGAATTTTTAAGACAATTATGAAGCAACCAAAGCATTTTGGGTACATGAAATTGTTTCAAGGCTTGTCCCCTCTAACAGCAGTCAGACAATCTCGCTGACTGAGTCATTATTGAGATCATCAGTTTCGAATCTGTAGGATACATTTTTCTCCCTCTCTTGCTGTTACCATCCTGCTGCCAGTCTCCTCCCTCCTCAGTTCTTTCTCCTTAAAGCCGAAGACCAAAAACCCTCCCCATCTACATACGAGCCCACAGCATTGTGTTCTGGCATCTCAGGTTCAAATTCTGCCCCCACTTAAATGTTTCCACAAATATTTGTTGCCTCCTTGCCTGTCATTCTTCCCTGTGGGTGAGTGAGCTTCCCACCCCCCTGCCTTGGGGCTCAGCCATGACAGCGCTCTGGCTAGACACACCATGTCCACTGTCACAGTTTCTGTCCCCTCTGCCCGGAAAACAGCAGGCTCTCTCTAGAATGGCTGCCCCTTCCACGCAGGCCCACAAGACGACACCAAAGTCACGGAGACAAGCTGGGCTGAGCCCAGAAGAGCTGCATACACTGACTGAGAGAGAAGGTTTTTGTAGAAAGCCACTGAAATTTGAGGGGGTGGGGAGAATGTGTATGCTACTGCTACAAGCTAACTACCACATTGTACGTGACCACAGCCGAGTAATTTCTTTTTGTTTTACCAGCTACCTCTGTAAAACAGTGATAATCACTAGCCTCACACAGCTGAAGCTATGAACATATTATGTATATAAAACACTTCATATAATATCTGGCAAGAAGCAGCTACACAATGGTTCTAAGCTATTAAAATCCCCATCAGAATGGAAAAATTCTAATATATATGGATAAGACTCAAATTGCAGATGACAGTTTGAAGATGCAGCTTTCAATGGACCACTGGGTTTTTGAGTAGTTAAAGGCACCAGAAACATAACCTATGACTGCATGTTTTCAGACACAGAAATCTAACACCAAATGTGCAGAACAATGACCCGCTGAAAAGCTGAAAATCTAATTATTTGAAAGCCCAGACATTTTATTCACTCCAAGCAAAAGGAATGCAGTGAACAAAGACTCCTGATTATAAGAAAAAGTGTTTTCAGTTGTTATCCTTATTAAAAAGTAAAAATAGATAAAATAAAATAAACCAACACACTGTACATCTAAAAATCCTACCTGCAAAGAAACTAATAATGATTCCTTGCCCCCCCCCCCCCGGGTGGTACCTAACCAGTGGTGTGGTGGATACAGGCTTTGAAACCAGCATCTGCATTCCACACTCCCTAGAAAAAGACGCACTTGATGTCTCCAACTTCAGCCCCTCATTTGAAGGTTTCTATTGATGTCCAAAGAGAAGAGGGATCACCTTACAGTGACCCATTTCAGAATCAGATCTCCAGGAACGCAATTGATTTCAAAACAGGGACCGCCCACAGCAGCTGGCTCTACAGTGCTTCATTATTTGGGAATTGCTTAAAGAACAGAAAACCAAACTTTCTACAATTCCAAGACAGCAAGACTGTATTCACTGGCACTGACTAGTTGCTTGTTGTTTTAAATTGTTCTAATCACGGTACTAAAGATCAGTTTTAACAAACACCTTTTCAAGAAAACCGCAGAAAAATGCCTGATCACAAAGCCACCCAAATGTTTTTAAAACTCAGTATAGATTCTTTCATTAGTAAATTATGCTGACTGAGAAACTCTCCACACCAATGGAAAATAGTGCAAATTTTCTATTATACAATCAGATAATGAATGATCATCTACCTATGAAATGCCTCATACTCGTTATGAACCTCATCAAAACTTTATATTTGGAAAATCTATAAATTTATCTTGCTAATTTACTAAAATAAATCCACTACTTAAAACATTTAGTGATCCACATTTTCTCATTGTTTCTTGAGGGAAGTGTATTAAAGCATTATGCTTGATGCAAGATGATTATCATCATTTTGCTTAGAAAAGCATATACCACATACTTAAATCACACTGACATTCACACACTGAAGATGACCAGAGTAAAAACTGTATTAGTATTTTTTCAAGAGGAAACAAGCTATGACCAAAACTATTAAATAAAATTTGGACATCTTGACAGGTCAATTCATCTGAGAGGTAACTAAGTAAAACAGACTTGGCTAACTCAGAATTCCTGATAAACAGTCACAGGCTCAACGCCAGTGTTTCGTCGCATTGGTTTTAAAAGTGGGATAGGTTTTATGAAGTTTTCTTTCTTTGTCAAAGAAAAGTACTAACTAGCGTCAAGTATTGTAAAACGTCTCATTTCATACATGCACTAGTGCTGATCAATTGTCTCCAGTGAGTTATCTTACATAGTGTTACGTATCCAAGTTAGAAGCAATTACACTGGCAAGTCCCATGCTAGCAACCAAACTTAACACTGATTTGTTTCCTGATAACTTCCGATGAGAAAGTGAAAAAATTACTGCTGATGCCCTAACTGCATTTATTTTGGGAAATTCTATTTTAGACATCGCTGGTCAGAACTCCTTTCTTCCCAACCATACAAGTCAGTGACGCGCTCTACAGCATTACATCTGCCGACTGTCGGGGTCAGCTCATCCTCTGCCCCCGGTTATTTTTACCTTCTCCAGTCTCTCAAAGTACTCCCTGAGGAAGGCCATGGGCCTCTCGGGCCGGGCAGTGCACAACTGCACGATAGAATCTTTGAGCAGGGCCTGGATGTTGTGCTTCTGGACGTAGAGCTCGCACTCCCGGAGGCTGCGCTCCTCCTCACAGGCGGCACTGCTGCCAGACGCCATGGTTTTCTACAAGGAAAAAAACCACATATGCCATGTAAATGATTGATAAAGAGCAAATGCCAATTTGGCCTTTGACTTATTAACAAATTCATTAAGCAACTGAGTCACAGGAACTTTTTTTCTCTTCCCCGACGGGGAGGTGGGGGCTAGGGAACAGACTATGTAGAGAAATAGCATTCTTCCAAAGTGCTTCCTGGATCCAGCCTCTGCAGGCAGCAACACTGAGAGCAGTAAGCTCAGCTCCTGGGAGGAAGTATGAGCCACTATCCCCTGCAGAGGCGGGCTGCAAAGGAGTCAGGCCCTTAGGGGAATTTCATTCAGTTCTAACCCTGCACAAAAGAAATCATGATGACGTGAGAAGTGTGTAAATGGTAAACAGGACAGAGAATTACAAAGGCTCACAAGCCTGCTCTCAGTGAAAGCAAGTAAGCACCATGGAGAACATCTGACATTCTCTGTATGCGTAACTCCAGTCCCAGGAGAGAGTCCTACTGTCACCCAACAAACACTGGAACAAGGGATGGGATTACCCAACTACTATGGTAATCAAAAAAATCAAAAACACAAAAGGAACCCAAGATGAGTTTTAAAAGGAATCTTACTCCAGCATCTTTTACCAGATTCCACCCCTAAATGAGAACACACTAACCCACAGGTGAGAGGGGAAAATCCTTAATTGATAGAAAAAAGCGTCACTAATACTAAAAGACTGAGTCAGGGAAATGTCAAAACGTTTTCTTCAGTTGGCCAGGAAAAATGTTAAAAGCACATTAAAGTTTAAACTTACACGAAGAGTCAATAAATAAACTGCATTTAATAAACTTCAGAGGATTCAAGCTACCTTGAAGTGAAGTAAAATAATAATGAGCAGATTACAGTAAAGGGTAGATAACCTTAACCTGGAATTAAAACTGGCAATTTAACAAAGGTTGATAAGCCTTTCCTTCCGATTTCTAATGACTAAAAAAAGAAAGAAGATAAAAGCAAAGTTCCATCCACGCTGCCACTGAATTCCAGACTAATCTGACTTTTCCAACTATAATGCACACAAAACCACTGACATGAAACTATAAATACAAAAGCAGAGAAACAAATTCCGAAGTAAAGAACTAAAGTGTTGTTACCCTATTACTCATTTTGTTTTGACAACTTTCAAGCTAAAGGTCAGTGACAGGCTAATTAATAGACCATGAGAAAGTCTGCAGCTCCAAGACAGGCACATGAACTAGAGACCACAGAAAAATAATCACACTGATATTCCAGGGAAGGGGAAAACACACACACACAAGTCCATTTACTTTAGCATGGATTTATGGCCACTCTTCAATAGTAGGCAATCTTATGAACTGAGAATCCATTTCAGCAGAATTTTTTGCATTTCAAAGAATACTGAAGGCCATAATACTGAAAGCCACCCAGAGCAATGTTATAAATCAGACCTTTCATGCTTCAAAACATTCGCGTATACGCCAGGACTATCAGCTTGTATTCAGAGATACACGGAATACACTGTAGTCAGAGAAGTCACCCTGTGATTCGTTCTCAGGTGGGCAGAAATGAAAGGAGTGGGTCTAAGAGGCGAAACTGGTTTGTCTGAAACACTGTATTAAAAATACCAACCAGAAGGCACCAGTAATACAGCACATTAACCAAAATGCCCAAGATTAATGCAGCCACCATGTGAACCCCTGAATATCCAAATTTCACAGTCTTAAGACTTATAACCAAATCTGCCTAGATTAACTCTAGATTTCCATGCCCAACAATATACCCCCCCCCCCCCAAATTCACTGCAGCCTCTCTTTCTAAGTAAAACCTCATATTCTTTCCTCCGGCGATTCCACCGAGATAAAACTCGGTTTCAAAAGGATTAGAGGGGAGGAGTATTTAGAACACTTGGAGAAACTGCTGCTGATTCAGGCCGCACCCCCCCCAAAACCAGCCAAGAACATTTCCGTGGGGTCATCTTGAGGAAGTGTTCTCTTTCTTCCCCTGATGCAAAGCCCAATCTCCAGGGAATCTCTGAAGCAGCTAAATCCTTCGGCCCGGCACGTGCCCGAACTGGAGGAGTCAACAGGTACCGCGGGTGTCGGGGGCAGGACGGGCCCGCGCCCTCCATTTCGCTCGCGCCCCCACTCGGGGTCGCACGAAGAGCGGAGGCCGACCCTGCACCCCGCTCCGGCCGGAAGGCCCCAGTGGCGGCGAGCAGGCCTCGGGGTGGGGGAGGGGGGAGGCATCCCGAAGGGGCGAGGAGGCGGCCGCGCAGGAAATCCAGGGGCCGGCGAAGCTCGGGGAGGGGGCGGGAGGGGCGCCGGCCGGGCGGAAACCGGGACCCGCCGGGTCTCCCGAAGCGCCGGGGCCGCGCCGGCCGCGGGCGGGGAGGCCGAGCCGCTGCCCTTCAGAAAATGGGGGAAGCCGGGCGAGGCGGCCGCGGCGCGCGGGGGCGGGGGCGGGGGCGCGCCGGCCGGGCAGGCCGCGGAGTCGGGGCGCGCGCGGGCGGGCGGGGGCGGCGGGGAGCGAGCAGCCCCGCGCCGGGGCCGGCACCCGGGGGCCCGGGGGCGCGGGCGGCGGGCGGCCGCGGCCTCGGGCCTGCAGGCGGGCGCCCGCCGGGGCCGGGAGGGGCAGGGGGTGCGGCCGTCCCCCTGCAGGTCGCTCCCCGCGACGCCATCTTGGATCGGTCCAGCGCCCCCAAACGGGCGCCCGGGCGACGCGGCCGCCGCGCCGGGGCCCACGGCCGGCGCCTCTTACCTGCGGGCGGGCAGCGGCGGGCACGGACCGGCGGCGCGAGGCGGCGACCTGCGAGCTCCTCGGCGGCTCCCACCCAGCCGGGTCCACTCCCCGATAGCGGCTTCGCGGCGGCTCCACCGGAAACGGCCCGGCCGCAGCCAATCCGCGCTCGGCTGCTGACGTCAATGCGCCTCGCTCTGGCCAGAGCCGTCGCCCGGGCAACCTTAAAGGCGCAGCGGCCTCAGTGCCTCGCGCGCCTCTCTCGCAGGGACCGGGGCGGGGCCGCACCCCAGAGTCTTCTCCCTCGGCTCTTCGGTCCATCTCGTTTCACCCCGTATCCGCGGCCGGGTCTTCACTCCCGGCTCTCCTCCCTAACCCGCTCTCTCTGACCCCGCGCCGCCCTCCCTCGGCTCACCTGCTCGGCCGTGCTCACCTGGTCCGCTCCGGGCACCTGCAGGCTCCTCTGTTCCTCGCCTTCTGCTCGCGGCTCTCGTTCCGCGCCGCGTCCGTCTCTCTTCTCCGGCCTCCCCCGCCGCCTCGGCCTTTTCTCCCTCCCCTGATCCCCCACCCCCTACCCGAGGCGACCCACGTGGGGCGTCTCGGATGACAGGTGGGCGACTCCGCCCCGTGCCCCTGCAGGAGGTGGACGCAGCCGGGGCGGGCAGATTCCTGCCGTGTCCAGCCCAGGCGGATCCCCCGCAGCTGCGCCCCAGGGCCCGGGGCCGGCGGATGCCTGGGGGGCGCGGATGCCCGGGCCGCGCATCCTGTGCCCCTCCTGGGCCTTGCGAGCCTCCGGTGCAGGAAATCTGAGCCTTGCCAAGTGTCTGCTGGGCACGTCGGGCTGCTCTCCTCCCCGCACCGGGGTGCTGGCTCAGTGCAGGCCTCGCCATCGCTCTGGGCACAAGACTCTGGCGAGGAATTTGCAGGGCCCAAGAGAGGCCTGAGTCCTTCCAGAACCTGAAATGCACCCCCCCCATCATCACCCCTGAACTCGTATATAGTGAGAAGTACAATGCATACAATGCGTGCAGCTGGACACAGACGCTCTGTGAGAAATCTTAATTAAGCCACCAATAGGGATGATGAGGGGCAGGCGGGAGAGGAGACTTCTTTACTCCTTCAGCCAGCCATTTTTCTTCATTAGAGTATCTACCCGGGAGGGAAGAACGGGGGAGCAGGCGACAGTTTCAGCCACATAGTCTCTTAATGAGTAAAGAAGCTCTTGGGTGACAGTAGTTGCTGCACTTGCACGGTATGTAGTTCGAGAGCAGCATGTGCAAAATACAACGGATTTGACACACTAGGGAAAATATACATAGGACATCTCAATTCTTTTTATATTGATTCCAGGGTGAAATGATACTATTGGGGACCGATTGGCTTAAATATTATTACAATGATGTTCACCTTTGTCTTTTTAAATATAACTACTAGAAAATGTTTGATCGCATATGGGGTTCGTGTTCTATTGCTGCTATGCATCACTGCAGTGGGAGACCAGCTGCTCCCCCAAATCCACCAGATTATGGTAAGAGTCCTGTTCCTTTATTTCCTTAGGGTTATTCCAGCAGACCACAGGCAAATCAAGGGGTCAATTAGACCTGCAGCAGGGACTACAGGGCAGAAGTTTCTCCTCCCACCAACCCCTCAAATATCCATGTTGACCACTGCCCTTTGGCAGGGGATGGGTGGAATGGGGATTAAAGACAGAGCCTTCAGTCATATAGGATTTCACCCTTGTCAGTACAAAGCAGGGCTAATAAACTGAACCCTAAGCTGGCAAGCAGGAGAGGGAATTCGATAGCACTGAGCAGGTCCGGTCATGTTGAGAGAGGAAAAAACTGCCCTCAGATAAATCTGAGCTTGGTTTCAGGCTCAACCATCTCCGGTAATTAACTTAATCTCCGTGAGCCTCAGTTTCCTCAATGGTCAAAGCATAAGCAGGGCTGCGTTAAAATTAACTTGGAAAGATAGTAACTGCAGACAGGTATGTCACTCCATTGCTGGCACTGCTCTAAGTTCATTAATAGTTCATGTAATTCTCAGCACTCCATGGCATGAGTATTATTATTGCTATTATTACTACAAAAGGAAAATGAGGCTTGGAGAAGTGACTTGCCCAAGGTCATACTGCTCTGGGAGTTCACACGCAGGCAGTGATCTTATCATGCCCCTGGGCAGCATGTACAAATGTAATGTGCCCAGCGTGGTGTGGGATACAGTAAATACATGTTAGTTTGCACCCCGCTTCTCCCTTCCTCTAGTGCTACCCACACTACAAGGTTAAGACTGAGTTTCCGGGCCTTCCCTGGTGGCGCAGCGGTTGAGCGCTGGGTTGCGAAGCTGCCCGCAGCCTCTGCAGCGCCGGTTCAATCCCTGGCCGCCGGCGAGGGTCCCACATGGCGCGCAGACCTCTTCTGCGCACCCGCTGCTCCCCTCAGCAGTGTATTTCGTCAGTCTGCCTGTTCTGTTCCTCGCTCTGGTGAATTCTCTCACCCTCCCGCGCTTCTGACTGTACCCAGTGCTTGTATGAATAAATAAATAAATCTTTAAAAAAAAAAAAAAAAAGACTGAGTTTCGCCATGTCCTGCCATTACAGCATTAAGAACAAGAAAATAAATGAGCTGGTGGCGTTAAACCAAAGACTTGGAGTGGCGGCTGCTTCCTTGCTGAGGCTCCAATTGTTTCCAGGGTCAGTCGCACCCAGGCTTGTTCTGGCTGCTAACTCCTATGCTAGGGCTTTAAATGACAAAAGGGAGAATGGGCAGTAGATGGTTGAACCTGGACCAGGTTCACCGACACAGCTGTTCTGAAAAACTGAACAGCCCGTGGTGGTTTCCCAAGGGTGTGAAGACTTTCAGTGCTTTTGTGCCCAGGCAAGAATAACAGCTTGTAAATGACACTTCGGAAACTAACAATGGTTGCATGGAGTTTCAGTGTGATTTCCCTTTCTCCAGAGGCCTTGCCCTTGATGCCAAGGTTTGCCAGCCTTTTTTTTGGCCTGTGTCCTTGAAAACCTCAACAAGGGTAGTGGGGTAAGTAAATTTTTCTCTTTAGAACAAAATTCCTTAGTTGTTACAATATCTGGGAAATATGAAAAACCATTTTAAGATTTTTTTAAATTTATTTATGCATTGAAGACCTGGGGTGTAGACCAGAGGTGCAGGGGGTGAGAGGATTCACCAGAGACAGAGCGGGGAGCAGAACAGCTGGATCTACTGAAATACACTGCTCAGAGGAGCAGCGAGCGAGACAGGAGGGGTCTGCTGCACCATGTGGGTCAGCTTCCCAGCCAGGGATCAAACTCAGGTTGCAATGGCTGGCAATAGCTTGATAGCACTGAGACTTTAACCTCTGCACCACCAGGGAGGCCCCACAAACAGACCATTTCAGAGCAAAATTAACAGAGTAATATCACTGGCACATTCAAAAAGTAGAAGTAGAGCCAGTCCATAAAAGGAGACTAGGTTCCTGGCTTATTACTTAATGTTCCTGCTGCTTAAAGTTTCCATTAGCTATGGTTAGATCCAAACATTTCAGATTTCCAAGGAGAACTTTCCAGGTCATCACCACCTACTTGTGGTGTGCAGTGTGGTTTCAATGCCTCTTGTGGAACCCAAGGATGTGGTTTCAAATGCAACCCCATTCCTGCAAGTATCTAAAGCCCAGCGTCCCTCTATTTGTCTCCCTAGCAAATATGTACCTAAACTGAGGAAGAGTGTTTATCTTGCACATTCATTGAAAATGTTAACCACGAAACCAGACAAGTGGCAAGCTTGGGTTTAATACTAAAGACTTTTCCAAATAAAAATATGTTCATCCAAAATAGCGTATTTCAATCCAGTGTTCAACAAACAATAAAGTTGTATTAGTCAGATGCTCCAGAGAAATAGAAGCAATAGAAAGTGTATTTATAGAGAAAGATTTATTTTAAGGAATCAGTCTGTGCACATGATTGTGGGGGCTGCAACGTCCAAAATCTGCAAGGCATGCTGGCAGGAAAGAAGCAGGGTGGATAGGCTGCCACAGTCTTGAGTCTAAACACAGGAGTCCTGCCTTAGGGAACCTCAGTCTTTTCTCTGGAAGCTTCAACTGATAGGATGAGGCCCACCCACCTTTAGGAAGGGTAATCTGCTTTGCTCAACCATCCATCAATTTCAAGTTTACTCCCATCTGAAAAAAATACCTTTTCTGCAACATCCAGACTAGAGTTTGAACAAAAACCAGGTACCATGGCCTAGCCAAGTTGACACATGAAATTAATCATCACCACAGTGAATTAAGTCAGGGCCAGATATTGTTGAATTAAGTCAGGGCCAGAATCTCTTCTAAATAGTCTTCCTCTGGTGTCATTCCCCTTTGTCTATGCTATTTTTAAAAAGATTTATTCATTTATGCATATAAGAACTAGGGTATAGGCAAGAGGTGCAGGGGGTGAAAGGACTCACCAGAGTCAGAATGGGGAACAGAACAGGCAGATCCACTGAAATAAACTGGTGAGGAGAACAGAGGGCAAGACAGGAAAGGTCTGCTGCACCACGTGGGTTAGCTCCTTGGACAGGGATAGAACAGAGGAGGCAGCGGTGATAGCATTGAGACTTAACCCCCTAGGCCACTAGGGAGGCCCCTGCTTATGCTATTTTTAATTAGGCTAATACCATATTAGTAGCCCATGAATTTGAAGCTTTAAAAAATAATGATGGGACTGTCACACAGACATTTTGAGTGTGCTGACTAGGATCCAGAACTTTCTTAGATTCTGTCAAGCTGATGTGGTCCACAAATTTTGTTAGCACCTTGCCAGCCATGTATCTCTACCTCTTTCAGGAAATCTTAAGCCTTCTTTGGTCATGGTCCCCTTTGAGAAGTTTATAAAAACAGTAGGCTTTCTCCCCAGAAAAATCACCAATCAGACACATATAATAGTTATCATACTGTTCCAGGAGATTCACAGATCCTGAGACCCATCCTCTTGTGGACATCAGCTTCGGATATCTTTAAAAATGTTCCAGAGCAGCCACACAGCTAGCCGTGTGTGCCAGGGATGCCGAGACAAATATGGAGTCTCACCCTCAAACGCTCCCAGTCTCGGGGTGATGCAGTAAACCAGGACAGGTCTCTCTTCCTGCCCCATCAGATAAGCATTCCTATCTGTTGCATTTAAGAAGTTTGTCTTCTTGGGGCCTCCCTGGTGGCGCAGGGGTTAAGTCTTAGGGCTATCAAGCTACCACCAGCCACTGCGGCCTGAGTTCGATCCTGGCCAGGGAGCCGACCCACATGGCACAGCAGACCTCTCCTGTCGTGCCCGCTGCTCCCCTCAGCAGCGTATTTCAGTCAATCTGCCTGTTCTGCTCCCCGCTCTGTCTCTGGTGAATCCTCTCATCCGCTACACCTCTGGCTTGTACCCAAGCTCTTGTATGCATAAATAAATAAATACTTTAAAAAAAAAAAAAAAAGAAGTTTGTCTTCTTGGAATCTAAGGAAAGGGCAAGACATCCCT